AAATCCAAGACATACTGCAAAAACGCAATGATTAGCTCATTGCGTTTTTGCAGTATGTCTTTGTCTTATAAAAAAATCTGTCTGTGTATTTTTAAACAATGAATAAGTTTCGTCTGTGTATTTTTTAAACAATGTCTCAAGCCTCAATTTTGTTTGGACATTAACGAAGCAGAGTCTGCTCTAAAACATCAATAACGCAAGATGAAAAGCTAGATGTTTGTATCCTTGTGATGAATGCGACCGTCAACAAGTGCGGAGTGTTGATTAAACTTCGTAATTGACGACAGAGTTACATGGATGGGACGATGTTGGCAACTTTTTCAATTATACTCGTAGCTGCAACCCTGGTAGCCCCGGGTTTGGATGGAACAGATTTTGAATGTACAATGTACGTACTAGCGAAACACTACACACTGCTTTATTATTCATTTATAATTCAATGGAGTTGGGTAGAAGTTTAATAGAATTCTTAAAATAATTATTTACATCTTTAATGAAGGCAATATTAACTTTCTTATATGTTATGTTATAGTTTTTATACACATCATTCTAAAAATATAAATATATAATATCTTTTATGCGGACCTTGATGATAAATATTCGTATTTCAGTTAATAAGTACTTTTATTATTTTTTCTATGCTGAGTCTCACGAGTATTAAACTTTTTTTGTTAAACATAAAATAATCTATCAATTTGGACCGCTGCCATCGTTAATGGGTAACATTACTTTTAGGATTGGTCTGATGAATATGATTGATCGATAAAAGCAGAGTACTAATATAACTTGGTAATTGGCTGTCGTCGGCTTAGAGTATATAGGACGAAACCATAGCGTTATCTTTTCAAATATCTCTCTTTTTTACAATATTTCATTGTGGTAATGAAATGTGGTTCTAAGCGTGATTGAGTTCAATAACAAGATCCTCACGTTTCTCCTTGGTTTTTATCTGTCATGCGCTTCGTGCCGCTGCGTATGCGAAATATTCCACATGCACTGTACTATCGTCTGCAAAGCAATGAATATACCCAAGAGAAATAAAATCATTAGTCAGAGTAGGGGATAGGACGGAGCCCTGAACACCGGCATTCACTGACATGAACTGCGAACTACATTCGTCTGTAATTTTACGCTCATGCAAGAAGTCAGTCACCCAAGCACAGAACTGAGCAGGCAAACCGTATGCAGGAAGCTTGGAGAGAAGACTCTTGTACCTTAATCCGTATCGACGATTTTGATCAGTGAGTGGTCTTCTAGGTACTAGGCACAATACTGAGAAAACAACTATCGTACGTTTTACGTATTTATTATTATGGGATTAGAAAGACATACCATAAAGTTCACCGCTTATATACTAGCAGTCAGAAACACCTATAAACAAATGTAACAGCCAATCGAAACACTTTTACGGAAACAAACAGTCATAATACTTTTTTATGTGTCGTTTAACATTTATGACATTGGTACAATGCGATAATAATCTTTCGAGATCCCGCAAACCTGGTTAATGCCATACTGATGATGTTATGTCCTTCATAAAATTAAGGTTCGACTTCTGTAAATATCATAAAGACTTATGAATAAATGATCCTAATACATTAAACAAAATCTTCTATAGATCATTTTGTTTTATTTACTTTTTGTGACCATACCAGTATCGCTTTGAATACCACTAATAAATCTAAAGAAAATTTTATCACTTTTTGTTTTAAAGTATGACCAATAACAATCCGTGATAAAGTAAGTTTTCGTAAAAACAATTCTTTGAAATCTCTTACCTATTTTACCAGTTAATCTTTTTGCGGACCATCACCGGACAGTACCCACTCTTCAAACAGTTTCACACCCTAGGTACAACTGATAGTAGATGCGGAGACGCGGTAAAATCTCTCAACGGAGATCTCGCAGTTCAGCACTTAACAGCGTAGAGGGTTTTCGTAGGGTTTTTTAGCGGATAGTATGCCGTAAGTGCTCGTAATCCGCGCGGACTGCTTAACGGCTTCTCCGTTTCGCACCCGTGGGACTTGCGAGAGGCTTGGCGTAAGGTCCGTTCGTTAGTGTGCTCCTTATGGGTGCAAACGTCTGTAAAAATAGGTTTTGCCTGCGTTACAATGGAGGCCGAAGCGACCATGCTACCGTTTGCACATATGCTCCTTGAGTGCACAAGTGTCGCCCAGATCAGCAGCGAGACTCTACACCGGAATCCCTCGCGGATGCTCTGAAAACACTGGACAGACTAATCTGATTCTGGAGGAAGGTGGATTGGTTGGAGTGATCGGCTGCTATGGCTCACGTACAATGGTCCACTTAAGGACTAAGTGCGGAAACCATATCCTTTAATTCAGAACATAGAATAACAATCCATGATAAAGTAACCTTTAGGAAATCATTTCTTTGAAATCTCATACCTATTTTACCAGCCAATCGGCAGTAAAATAGACAATATATTTTCGATCACAAACCAAACATTTAATTGGGAAATAATTACAAACACTTGTTTCAAGAGGTTGACACTCTTACCAACACATTACAACACAACATTGAAGCTCAAACATTTCGACCAGTGGCACCAATACGAACGGCCATGCCAAGGCAGAAACACATTCCTTGAATTTTTGAATATCTACGCTTTACAAGAATCTCCGTAAACGACCGACTATTCCGACTTTTCGCGAGACTTGCGGAATGCAATTTTATCTGATCTCCACATTGGAGTCGGGTAATTAAAGCCAAGGAATCCACAATCGACTGTTCCGAACAATGGCGAAAACTACCACTCTGCTTTTACACCTTAAATTATGTTCGTAATACTCTAGAAACTTTGTTTTGAATCGAGTGTCGGCACTGCACTGTGTTTCGTGTTGTTTGTTTCGTGATAGCAATGCTGTTTCACTTTAAAGTATCATTGTGAGTTTTTTCATTGCTTTTCTTTAATTAACATGAGTTAATTTTTGAATTTCCCTCCAATGTGGCAATTGAATTTTGATTATTTGTTTTAAAATTAAGGTATTGATAAAAAATGAACACTTTGCTACATTATTTAAAATTGTAATATACAATTTCCGGAAACCTATATCTTTAAGGCAATTTATATTTTTTTATTATTTCCGAAAACGGTAGACTCAAAAACACCAATTAAATGTAATGCTTGACAACAATGTGACTCGTTGGCTCATTCTTATAAAACAGAATGTGACATCATCAACTTGATTCAAACTTAACAATTGACTGATGTCTTTGTAAATCGATAATTTAAACGAAGAAAATTCAAAAAGACCAATCTTAATGCCAGTCCTACGATTCGCGCCAATATCTTGACTGGATTGAATCCGGCCATAGCCACCGGTATCTTTTACCGGGTGACGGCAACTTTCCTCGATTGTTCGCAAGAAATTTCATTAAACTCTCACCACAACTCTAATCGGGTCTCGTTCAATGACTATAATCTGCACTTTTACCTTGTGTATGGAGTTATGTTTTCAGTAGATATTGCTTCTTACTTGCAAGACTTGCTGTGTTGCATTAGGTACTTTTAGAAGTACGGTTGAACTTACAAATAAATAATAGTCGTTCTGTACTGACCGTTGTTATATTTTGTTATTCAGATTTGTTCTGAGAATATATATTCAATTTCCAAGATTTGGTGTTTTATAGAATTTATCATTGAACACCTTTAACAGAAGATTTCACACTGAGAAAATTAGCTCCACTACATTATGTTGATTATGACATTACTGAAACTCATACTAATACATTTTGTTATTAGTATGAGTTTAAGACCAAGGTCAAAGAGTGGATACTAACGCGCATTTACAGTGAAACGGAACATATGCTACTTTAAAATATAGATGAAATTATTACAACACACACAATATCTCACATATACACACAAACACATACATACACACACATTAATCAATAACTTTTTGTAATCATCCGTTGTCTCCAATCGAACCACTGCCTTTCATAATACAGGTCTTACCTAGCATGAAAGTCAAGGGTCCTAATTATAATTAGGACTTATACGATAGCAAACCATTCCTAGATTATTTTAAGATGTTATTGTAGTAGTAATTGTAAAAAGAAGGAAAAAATGGTCTTATTATTATTTTCTGATTAAAGATACTAGAATGTTTATTCAGGTTTGTTTACACAACTTCAATTGTACATTGTGACCTTTTGAGGTTGCCAAGGGCTTCTCGGACATCGGACACAGGCCTTCAGTGTGAAGCGAACATTTCCACATTATTAACTCAACCCCAAAAAGGGTGCGAAACATGAAATATCATGTAAAATTTAAATAAACGCCTTTTGTAACCCATTTGAGGTTATTTCGTTAATGAGTCCAATCATATTTATCATTATGATTTATCCTTACTTAAACCTTTAAGCACACCCTTACCTTGTTACAGCATCCGAGTGAACTTGATACGGGGATGACCCTTACTTCAAATAAACTGGGTGTGAAATACCATAAGGTGTGCTATTTTCGGAGCTCGTTTAAGTTTACACTCGGCTGCTTGGGGCCCTTTATGTCTTCCAAATGGAACTGCTCGCTAAGACTTTTGAAAGAGAACTTCCGTAAGATATTGTAAAGAAACCGCTTTAACACCAGAGCAAATTGCATTAGCGTGATTGATTACAATTTATATATGTATTAATTACTGGAGACCCGCCTCCGCTTTACAATGCTACAATTTGCTTTGATGCAATTTAAACTGTGTTGCCAGGAATTTAATAGCTTTCTATCGGTAAAAGAACTTTCAAAATAAGTTTATTAGTTCCAGAGATTAGTTCCTACAATGCATGCAACAAAGGAAATACATTTCAAATGACGGAATATATTATGTGCTATTGAATTTTGTTTTTGGCATAGTTTAAGTCTTATACAGTTACTTTACTTTTTAAGTACTTACATATTGTTATAAGCTTACATTGATAACGAGAACTGGATTTTAACATTACTATTTTTTTCTTTTCAGAATCTTAAGAATCAAATCATGACAACGAACGTGTGGGTAGAACAGGTGAGTTAATAATATTTGTCAAATCTTTCAATTTTATTAAAACCTAATCTACCTAGCAAGTTATTAAATGTTTACTAGATAAAAAAATAATACAACACACTCGGGTTGGCCTGATACATAACAGGCATTGTAAAGATACTGCATGAAATTAATTTCAACACGTTCGTTAAGATTTCGATAACATAGCGCTGGAAGTCCATTTGCTCTTATCCCTGAGCTGAGTTTATTTTTAGCTAGTAAAAGATTTCTTTGGAAATAAAATTCTAACAGTTTCTTTCTTATATAAATATATTTAAAAATTATTACATTCCATTTATGCAGTAGATAATCAGCGCATGATAATTTAATATCTAAAATATAGCAGACTTAAGCCATAAATTTGTGTGAGAGAAATTTAAAATTTATTGGATCCATACGACAGATAATAGTAATTCTCTACCATCTTTCTTTTTTAATTTTTCTTTTTTCTAAACATCTCTTTAAATTCTAAAATCTTACTATCTGTCCTTGAAACTCTTCCATTGTATTGATTTGCTCTGATTGAATTACATATTTATGTATCATTACTCACACTGGATACTAAGCAAAAATTAACATTCTTTTAATCGGACTATTAAGCATCAAATTTGACTTCACCGAACAATTTCAGTCTTCCCTCTATTCTCATATCAACAGGGAAATGGAGCTCCATGTTAACTGTCAAAAGTGTATAATACACATATTTGTCTGCACGTACAGACACCATTACGTAGACAACAATGCGTCTAAACCGTCTCATACAAACAGGGCATCTCCCATTCTGTCAGTGAGACGCAGCAGTGACAAATGTTCAGTGGATGGGACGGTGACGTCAGTGTCAATAGGATGGGTAGGGACGACGTTTTCTTTCGCACATCTCGACTGTGTGTGACTAATACTGACATGAGGGCTCTCTCCGTACTCGTGTGACTTATCGGGGCCATGCGAAGAGCGTTATAAAACCCGACAAGGTGTTTCGTAATAAAATAATTAATAAGAGTTTATAGTAGCATGAGAATGTTTAAGATAGCTGATGGGACGGTGACGTCAATGTCAATAGGATGGGTAGGGACGACGTTTTCTTTCGCACATCTCGACGTGACTAATACTGACATTAGGGCTCTCTCCGTACTCGTATGACTTATCGGGGATGCGAAGAGCGTTATAATACCCGACAAGGTGTTTCGTAATAAAATAATTAATAAGTGTTTATAGTAGCATTTGAGAATGTTTAAGATAGATGATGGGACGATGACGTCAATGTCAATAGGATGAGTAGGGAAGATGTTTTCCTATAAACATCTCGACTGTGACTTATTAGGGCTCGTTAGGGCTCTCTTCATTGCTTGGTAGCAATATATTTTGAGATGACTTGTTTTTTTTATTAATGTTACTTGTCTATAACTTAATAGAATAACCACAAAATTATTAGAAATCATGAGAACATTATAGTACCTGCAATAGGCTACATTTATTATTAAATTTCCAAGCCACTTAGCACAAAATATGTAGATAGTACATAAGGTAATCTACATACAAGATGCGCTTGAGCAACGTACACCTCTCACAGATACGATATCTCTAACCGCTTGACATCATTCCCTTGAGACACGCGTCTGCGAAGTTTTAATTGCAAATATAGAGTAACAAAAGTTATTATAACTGTTCAATGGACGGATTTAACCCTAAACGGAGAATTGTCGTTTTTATATTTGTACCTAATATAACTACAACATTAAAATACTTTAGCTATAATTAGTTTATGTCTGCATCCTTTCTATTTAATTCTCAAAAATAAATAAAAAAACTGCCTAGATATGTATGAGCGCCACTACCACATTTTCTTTTGAGGAAAAGCCAAAGTGTTATCAATCCTAGCACGACCACCGAGCCTAGATATGAAGAGTGAAGTACATAAATAAGATTCTCTTCCGTACTATATATTTTGTAATATAGGTATGTCATGTCATAATTTTTACATACAGAGAGTATGCAGAAAAAGAAAAGTTTGCAGAAAATAAAAATCCATACATACTAATATAATAAATGTGAAAGTGTGTACGTCGGTCTGTTACCTCTTCAGACTTAAACCGCTGAAACGATTTTAATGAACTTTGGTATATATTTTGAATCACAGGACAGGATAAAGACAAATATATTAGTAATCATGTTTAAGGGGGTGAAAAGGGGAGTGAAAGTTTCTATGGGAGCGGCACACCTTCTGCCGCATCAGGTATCTTCGCGACTAGACACCACCTGCGCCTAAAATTAGGTAGGGTGGGCTATTTGTGCTTCGCGTGAAAAAATTGTCACCGGGGATCAGAACTTATGTTTGGTAATTATTAGAGATGGGCCGGACCGACTATAGTCTTTGCCGACTATTCGGTAATACCGATTCATTCTCCTCCTCGCTAGATGGCGTCGTTCTTAATAAACCTTATTTAAACAGCTCCCATGTTTAGTTAATAAATAAAATACTAAAAGTTTGGGTTTGCTATTGTAGACTATTGTGAAGTGAATAATGAGTTTGAGCAGTGAAGACGAAAATTATATAAAGTTCAGTGACTTGCAATATTGCTTTGGTGATATTTAATCTCAACATGCAGTTTTTGTAGGTTTCACTTCTATCGCATGTGACCAGCACCAGCCCGTTTTTGTATTTTAGTTTTGGATTACAGTTTGGTTCTGTACATATTGCATGTTGTATTTGTTCTTACTGATTGTAATCTGCTTTCTGTGCTACATGAATTAAATAATAAAATAAAATTCCAATACCTATCAGAAGGTGTTCGGAATATCTATCAGTAGTCTGCTTGCTCACGCACAACGATATGACACGGTAATTTTTTTTAAAACACAAGTATTAACCTAGCCCCAAGCTAAGCACTATAAGGCTTGTATTATGGGATACTAGGGTAACGGATAGAATACATATACAGTACATAAATAGGTATATATTTTTATATAAATACATATTAAACATCCATGACTGGAGTACAAATGCTCGCATTCATCACACAAACATCTGCCCCCACCGGAATTCGAACCCGGGACCTCTCGAGTCGGCGACACCATGAAACCCGGCGTACTAACCACTCGGCCACAGAGGTCGTCATTGCTCGGCCGCTGAGCATGTTGTGTTGTGACGTGTTTTGTTTAACTACATTTTTACTCGCTTTGACAAAAAAAATTACCGACTCTCAAATCGAGCTGAAACATTGACATTCGTACATCACAACTTGCGTCCAATAAAAGCAATGTTTATGGTCTTCTATAACACTTGCTAGCACTTAAGATCTTACTTTATTGATACCTTCTCTCATTGGTATTTTGTTATGTGCCATACTCATTGTGTTAAGTTATTTGAATTACTTACAGATTCCTAAGTTTCTAATTCCTATCATGTTACCCTATTAGGGTTCCGTAGTCAGTCCTCACAAGGAACCCTTATAGTTTCGTCATGTCCATCTGTCCTTCGCCAGTTTGGCTTGGAGACTAGCACTACAGCACTGTAATTTTGTGGAAATAAGTATATTTAATGATTACGCCGACATTAAAGTAGAATAAAAAAATGAAAAAAAAAATTTGGTTTTTATTTTTCTTTTTTTTTTAATCATCTACCCCATCGCGCGGGATATCGTTGAATAGGTTCTTTAAAAAAACTTAAGAGTTCCTGAGCCCATTTTTCAATTTTGGGATGCGTTTGCGAAATATTGAACTTTAAATTACTTAGTTTTTTTCGAGTAGGAAGTCCGCTCCCCCCCTCTCTAATACCTAAGCTATTGGCTTGAAAAACCTGGAAAAATTCACAATAGTGCTTTTCATGAATTTTGAAAGAAAATTATAACGGTTAAGATGGATTTCTTAGTTTAAGAGTAATAGTCGTTCAACTTTGGTTACGGAAAATATAATATCGCAAATTAAATGAAAAAAAGCTACTGATTATTATATATTGGTTATTATGGAATGCTATAAAGTCGCCATATTAGTCAAATTATGATATGCGTAAATACCATTTAATCTACGCCCTTGTACTAGCTTGCCCCACTGTGCGGCGCGGCGTCTGAGTCGCGCTAATGTTACGTTTTTATAAAAAGTATATATGCACTTAAAAATCGGCGGTTATAACGCATCATCCCCTTTTCTGGGGATGATCGCTTCTATGAAGCTTGTAAGGCCCTTCTGGCCATAAGCATGAACTAAGGGTGTATTTTAATAAGAGTCTGACATAACCTTGCAGCCGGATGTAAGGTATCCTCTAGGATTTCACACCGGCTCCCTCGCCTGCGAGGAAAAAAAAATCGGCGTTTATCATTCGTATTTAAAAAAAAAATATATACATTGATACTAGCTGACCCAGCGAACTGTGTACCGCCATAAATATAGGAGCAGGTGGTAGAAGAGAAAATTTAGGGTTGTATATATTTTTAATACCACATTATAAAAAAATAAATATTGTCCAAAAACAAATTTTAGGGGTGTGTAACGTAGTGTTCTGTTAATTTCCTGGGATAACATTCCTCCTAACCCATATGAGAACACTACGTTACAATACCCAATAGTTTGAATTTTGGCGCGAAGGCGCATTGTAGGTTTCAGAACACTACGTTACAGGTGGACAACCATTATCACTTAAGGATATGAATAATAGATAGTAGCCGATTCTCCGACCCACGGAATATGCATATAAAATTTCATAAAAATCGGTCAGGCCGTTTCGGAGGAGTATGGTAACTAACATTGTGACACAAGAATTCTATAAATAAGATTAATAGATTTTTCAAATTTCCGATTCAGAGAATAAAGACATGCTCAAATATATTGGTGGTGGTAACTACATGCAACTACGAAATCTTGTGCGTGGCACGACACGCAGTTGTTTTTTTTTAATATTTTATGACCGTAGGTAGGTACTGTAGATAAGCATAAGTTTTAAGTTTTATTCCATTTGTTATGTACCAATTCTAATCAGCATGTTTTCC